TCTTCCATCGCATTATTAATCACTGGAGTAGATAAATGGGATGGTAATTGGCCACGTTTGATATGTTCTGCTTTTTATATATTGACCATATGTTGGCAATTTTTCACATTTCTGGATAGATGCCAGTGTTGTAGTTGCAGTAGAACAGCTTGACATGTGACCCATAAAGTTCTGGAGCACAAATCTTCGGTGCTGTTGCTGAAATGTTGTTGTGTTCCATAGCCTTTGCAACATTGACTGTGCAGTTGTCACTCTTACAGATACTATCAAGGACAGATGCAGGCAGAGATAGTAGGAACTGCAGATGCTGTAAAATCTGAGATAACAAGGTGTAGAGCTGGATGAACACAGCAGGCCAAGCAGCATCATAGGAGCAGGAAGGCTGACGTTTCGGGCCTAGACCCTTCATCAGAAATAGGCCAGAAATGTCAGCATTCCTGCTCCTATGATGCTGCTTGGCCTGCTGTGTTCATCCAGCTCTACACCTTGTTATCTCAGATGCAGGCAGATTGGTTAGGATGAAGTCAAGTATACTTTTCCCTTTTTGTTGTTTCCTCACCATCTGCTGCAGCTTCAGTTTAGCAGAAACAAAGTCCATCACACAGAATAAATTCTGTGGCCTTGCCACCCTCAGTGCTTCCTCCAAGTGTGTTCAGCGTGGTGGAGTACTGATTCATCAGCCAAGGGAAAGTGGATTTTAGCGATCTGCAGGAGGGGTCCTTTCCCATGTTAAAGAAACCAACCACAGTCCCCTTTGTCTAGCTATTAATACACCCATAAATATTCAATTCTCAATTCAAAATTTAGGGATTCAGGATAACATAGTTACATATGTAAGGACAAAATGTTGTATCTCCCTTTAAGGTATGGGAGAGGTCAATCTGTAGGTCAATTTTTTCTCCTGTAAGCATTTGTTATAAGTTCAACAGCTGAAAAGCCTGTAGTTTGCATAAAGAAGTCAAGTTTAGATCTAGCTCAAAAGCACAAAAATAAAGCTGAGGCAGGTCAGGGGTGCCAATGTAAGTGAAAACTTGGATTCACAACTATAAATTAGTATTGTGACAGGAAACAAAAGTGACTGCTTTTCAAGATGATTACTATTAAAAAAGAAGCTATTCAGTAATTGTGTGATGTGAGTAGCTTGGGTTGTAGCTTCCAATTTTCCTTTTCTTTCGATTAATTGCTGTGCCTTGCTTTAGGACTTTGACCACCCAGCTAGGTCACAAGTTCACCACATGGTGTAGAACAGACTGAATGCCCATCTTACCTTTTTTGCAATACTGGCACCCGATACATTGCACCATATAAAATAATCTTTATGTTTTAGGGACAAGCATTACAAGAAACTGTTATCAGTGATCCACTGTTATTGATCTATAAATATCTATTGATTATTAATAAACAACCTGTCTAGCAATTTTGTTATGATTATTTTATTGTATTCCTGAACATCAAGTATCTACAGAAGTGCACATGCAAAGTCTAGGAGAGCATTTTTCAGAGTTTTTACATGATGTGTAGATGCCAGTGTTGGACTGGGGTGGGCAAAGTCAGAAGTCACATGACACCAGGTAAGCGTTCAGCAGGCTCATTTAAAATCACAAGCTTTTGGCACACTGTTCCTTCACCATCTGACAGTGTGACTTCTGACAGAGTTTTCACAGGAAGATTAGAAATAATATTGCACAATATCTGGAATAGTGGAAGAAAAGTGGAAGACAAATTTCTGATGTATGATTTCAGTGTGAAAATTTGGTACTGCATGGTAAATCAGATGTACCCATTTCATTTCCTTTTTCAGAGATATGTATAAGAATCATAGAACAGAATCCATACAGTGTGGAAACAGGCCATTCAGACTCTCTGAAGCGGATCCCACCCAGACTCGCTCCCTACCCTATCCCTGTAACCCTGCGCTTTCCATCTTTGGACGCTATGGGCAATTTAGCATGGCCAATGCACTTAACCTGCACATCTTTGGATAGTGGGAGGAAACTGATGTACGCTGAGGAAACCCTCGCAGACATGCGGAGAATGTGCAAACTCCACACAGTCACCTGAGGCTGGAATTGAACCCAGATCCCTGGTACTGTGAGGCAACAGTGCTAACCACTGAGTCACTCTGTACAATGGGTGTATGACACAAATATTCAGCTTAAAATATATAGAAAACTTGGTTGTAGATCTTTTAAGCATGTACTTATTCTACACCTGAATTTTATCAATCTTTCTAACCCCTCTGTCAACCCTTGCTCCAAAAATCCATCTTGACTCATTACAATGACTACACCCCCAAGTTAAGGAGGCATGTGCACACATTTTCTGCAGTTACATTAGTTCAGAACAGATGTAAACTAAGGTATTTGAGATACAGAAAACAAGCAGCAAGAAACAATAAATTTTCTAGTGTCATTGTAAATTTTAAGTTTTTTTAATACTCCCTCCTAACAGCTACACATTTTAGTTTCTTGGAATGCATTTTTATCACTTCATTCTGATTCACATTTATAATTTAAAACATTTTCTGATGTTCCTTACAATAACTTACTCCTATCTATACTGATCTGCAACTCTATGCTTAGCAGAGTGGGGTTAAGCTCCCTTTACTTTTACCATCTACCTCAGTGCCATTATACCTGACCTTATTCTCAGCACAGCTGAGATCAGAAACTGCTCTTTTGGGAAAGCATATAAAAAGTGGGTGCTAGGGGATGGGGGATGGGGGATGGTGGATGGTGGAGTGAAACCAAATACAGGCTGTTGCACAATGAATGTAATGTGTGACTCTTTTACAGACTAGGCAACACTGTAGACTCAAGGAAATCTCATCCAGACAGGACTGTGAGATGTTGTGTGAATGTTTGTGGATGACTCATACTATTTTTATTGCTGTGTTTGCTGCAGAGAGGGTGAATGATCCCTTGTCAATATTTGACTACATTGCAGTGCAATACATATAGAAATGAATGCACATTTTTGGTGTGAAGAGCAGTTTGTTTCCCTTTTAATGAAAAAGTTGTGTTATCCCCCAACTTCGCTAATTTTTTACAACTATACTGAAAATTGTACATTTCCTTATCAGCATTCATAATGCATACATTAAAGTTTCCCCATTTTTTTAATGATTGAACATAAAAGGATAATACTTCTTGCATTTTTATGCTTGAAGACTGTGTAGAATATAATTCAATACAGTTTTTATCTCCACCTTTGGCATTACAGTCATTTTACATTTTAATTTATCTTCACAGTATGCTGTATACAGTTCTAAGTTATGCACCTTGGCTCTTTCTCTAGGTTTATCAAGAAATGAAGCAAGATAAATTAAAAAGAAATGATACTGTTTAATTGGCCTTTTACACTCTGGTCCTGATCTTTAATTGCTGCTTTATTTTTGCACATTGCATCAGTTGAGAGGTAAAGCGTGCTGGGACATGAGTGCTCTCCCAATCAGTCATTATTCATTTCTACAGGTGAAGATTCCTGAATAGGAAAATAACTGAAAGAAGAATGTGCGTTCTTGTAGCTTTTCTCTGCAATGTCATCGATAACCTACAAAGTCAGGAGTCACATGACACCAGGTTATAGTCCAACAGGCTTATTTGAAATCACAGGCTTTTGAAGCGCTGCTCCTCCGTCAGCGCCTTCATCACCTGATGACAGAGCAGCACTCCGAAAGCCTGTGATTTCAAATAAACCTGTTGGACTATAACCTGGTATTGTGTGACTTCTGACTTTGTCCACCCCAGTCCAACACCAGCACCTCTATATCAAGGATAACTTATAGCACATTATAGTTGATGAAGCAGTATTTATTTAACATGTAATTAATATTATTATGGAAGAAATGAGACAGACAGTTTGCACAGAACTCCTACAAACAACAATGATAAAATGACCAGTTTATTTTAGTGCTTGTTGAAGGACTATTATAGTGATTTAAGAGAAGTATGTTTGCAATTAGCTGTTTACACCTGCTTGCAAGCATTTCGGTGAGATGATGCAGCAAATAGAAGCTTCAATAGGCTTCCTTTTTTTTATTCATTCAGATGTGCGCATCGCTGGCTAGCCAGTGTTTATTGCCTGTCCCCAGTTGTCCTTTAGAAAGTGGTGGCGAGCAATCCACTGCAGTCCAAATGCTGTAGGTAGACCCACAATACCATAAGAGAGGGAATTCCAGGATTTTGACCCAGTGACATTGAAGGAACGGGATGTATTTCCAAGTCAGGATGATGAGTGACTTGCAGAGGAACTTGCAAATGGTGGTGTAACCATGTACCTACTAGCATTGTCCTTCCAGCTGAAAGCAGTTGTGGGTTTGAAAGCTGTCTAAGGATCTTTGGCAAATTTCTGCAGTGTGTCTTTTAGGTAATACTGCTGCTACTGAGTGTCAGTAGTGGAGGGGGTGGATATTTGTGGATGTGGTGCTAATCAAGCTTGTTGCTTTACCCTGGATGGTGTCAAGGCTCTTCAGTGTTGTTGGAGCTGGCATGAACATCCCCAAAGCTCCACATCATTGTTTACAAATCTTTGTCATGCTGAGAAAAGGAGAGGGTGAAAACTAGCATGAAATATTGGAATAAATACCCATTTACCCAATCGTTATGATCTGTCAGTGCAGTTTGCCTGAATGTTAAAAGAAGTTTCAACTTGAGTTAGAAAGACAAATGTCAGTGAATTCTGGAGAAATATTTTGGAGGAAAGTATTTCCAGGAAAGAAACTCTCAGTACTTAATAATGCCTTGAGTATAATTATTGTTAAGGTAAAAACATCTGATTCCAAGATTGTGCTGGTATTAGATCTGGAGCTATGAATTATTTTTGCTATTTTATATCTCATGCCAATCTATCCTCAGTTGTAGTCTCCTACTGTTAGCATCCTGTAACAAATAAAAAAGTGATAACTAGTGTTTACAAAATGAATGTACATTTTACTAAAGTGCTAAATTAATTTAAAAAGTCTTTATATTTACTTACAATACGTTTCTTTTTCTTCGCAGTGTGAATGGGGCAGATGCTGGAAATATTATTAGACTTTTTGCTCCAGATGTTGGGATGTTTGTTGCTGGCTTGGCTACATGGCTTGTCTGTAAAAGTTTAGTTCAACAGCCACCATCAATGGATATGGCACAGTACAATCCAGAGTTCCAAAATGAAGAGCAGGTAAAACATTTTTTTTAAACTTTTGCCTTCGCTTTTAGAACAAATTAGGAACATTGTTTGTGAACCCAAAGGTTCAGTGAAACAAAGTTATTGCTTAGTGACTCTTTGTTAATTTAATGAACGTCTAAGCAAATGGTTCTGTTGCATTACAGTAAAGATATATGCTTCAAGCTGTTGTGGTATAATTTCCTAGTTCTGTTAAAGAAAATATTAGGGTTTGAAAGGTTCACCTGAGGAGTTGTTCATTAAGCACTGCCAAAATATGATGATGTGACATGAATTTGGGAGGGACAGAGGCTCTGCATCTCGAAGAAAATAGACTTACCACTAGGCTGCCCTTTGACTAATAACAATATATATCACACCTATGTAATTTGTATCTTATTGCTATCACCTTGTTTAAGAGAAGAATCACCTCTTGTTAGACCTTAAAGGATTTCCCTGTACTACACTAGACCAGTTGAATCCTTTAGATCCCAACCAATATAGACGACGATGGCAACAAATATGTCTGAAACATCTTTCACAAAGGTGACTATGGTGAGGCTCCATCATAAAACATAGGGAACAGTGGTGTGGATTTGATTTTATTTCGCATACAATGAATTCCAATGAACTTTGAAGAAATCTTCAGACTCAGCTTTATGAAGAGTAATTTGAGACCTGATTTGACAAGACAGAATCTGCAGACATTGGTTAAAAAAACATTTCAGACTTGGTAAGGGACACAAAGAAGAAAATGTGCCTTAGAGTTATATGGAGCTGGAAAATTAGTCCCACTTGCAGTTACAGATTGCGTTATGTGTCAATGAACAATAGGAGCAACCTCAAGTTGTGGTAAAGCCAGAGAGCACTGGAGTCTCTGAGTAAGGTTGAATTCCCTGGTTGGCAAAAGGAAGATCTTTAAAACTGCAGTACATTTAGGTGACAAAAATGCCAGAGATAGCTAGAGTCCTTACAGTACAGAGTGAGCATTGCTGCTATTGTGGGCAGGCACCAAAAAGCACTGTGACAGTATAGTGAAGGGCCAGAGAAGTAATGTTAAAGCAATGTTACAGCACTGATAGCATCATAAAATCAGAATTAAAGTGGCATTGGGGCAGTTTAGAAGTCATGAAAGTCACAGTCTAATGGAAGAAGAAAGTTAGGAGAGTACTGAGGCTGCAGAAGAAAATGGCAGATTTAGTATTTGAACTGCAGTAAAGGCAGGAAGAATTTATTAAGATCAGAGATGAGACTCATTCAGGGGGAAAAAAAATTGGAAAGCGCTAGGAAAATCTTATCCTCATCCAGGCAAATGGGGAATTTTCCAACACACTTCTAATCTGTAGATGATGGATAGGCATTGGGGAGTCAGGAGGTGAGTTGAGGATTCCCAAAGATCTTTCATTGGTAGCCACAGAATTTATATGATTGGTCCAGTTCAGTTTCTGGTTAATAGTGACCTCTGGATGTTGACAGCAGTTGAATCTTGAATATTGTACAGAAGATTTAATATCAGAAAAGGACCACAATGTTGCACATCTTGGAAAAAATAATTCTTAAGAGGTAGAATTGCTTCCAAGTAGATACAAAGTAAATCAGAAGCCGAATAACTAAATACATCCACAAACATCCACTTCCTCCCCACCACTGACGCTCAGTAGCAGCACTGTGTACCATCTACAAGATGCACTGCGGAATTTTATCAGAGATCCTTAGCATCTTCTAAACCCATCATCACTACCATTTAGAAGGAGACGGGTAGCAGATACATGGAACACCGCCACCTGCAAGTTTCCCTCAAGCCACTCACCATCCCGAATTGGAAATATATCACTGTTCCTTCATGGTCGTTGGCTCAAAATCTTGGAATTGCCTCCTTAATGGTATTGTGGTCTGCCAACAGCACATGGACTGCAGGGGGTCAAGAACACAGCTCAAATCCAACCTTCTTAGGGGTAACTTGGGATGGCCAATAAATGCTGGCCCAGTTAGCAATGCCTATGTCCCATGACTGAATAAAAAGGAAAGTTGTCTGCCCCCATATGCAAGGTTCCATCGACTGTACACATGTCTTATTGAGAGGGCCATATCTTAATACTGCAGAATTCATGACTTAGAAGGTGTTCTATTTCATTAACATGCATGTGATCTGTGATCACCGTTACCATTTCCTGGAGGACTACAAGTTACCCTGACAGCTGCAGAACTCCTGTGTCCTGCACTTACTGTCTTGAACCATTGTGTTTGAGGCTCCAAGAGCTTTAATAGGATAGTTACTCGGGGTCAAGGGTTGCTCACTGTGACCACGGCTGATGAGACTATTACACAATCCCTTGACCGATCTCCTAGTGCAGATATAAATGCTGCCCATGCATAGATCAGGGCTAAGGTGGAGCAGTTGACAGGGCCGCTGAAGATGTGTTTTTGCTGCTTAGACTGGTCTGGGTGCTTTCCACTATAGTCCGGACAGTGTGTGTGTACGTGGTATCATCCTGGAGTGCTGCACATTTGACGCAAACAATGAAATGATTTGCTGAATGCTGAGGAAATGGGGGAATGGAAGCTGATCTGCTGGATGCTGAGGAGTGGAGGGAATAGGTGCAGTCTTCCAAGGATCAAGATACTGAAGAGGAAGAGGCTGTCCTTCTGTATGACTGCGCTGAGCTGCATGGGTGTTACAAGCCAGACAAGACCAGATTGATACCAATTCCAATAGATGAGAGCTTGTTGTAGCAAACAATTGTGAAATGTAAAATAGCCATTGGCTATTTCAGTGTTTGGTTTGTGTTGTGGGTGCTAATTGCAGCCTCTATTTATTTAAATTGTATTTACTTTTGCCGGCTGAAAATAAAAGATCATGTTTTGAATTGTCTGTATGCTTCCCTGTGTGATGTTCCCCTCCTGAATAATGACAAGACGTTTGCTTACAGTAGGCATTGAGGACAGAGTAGCGGTAACCTAAAGAGTTAATTTACTTGGGATGCAGCTAAGGACAGCTAAACTGTATGGACTTGGTGGTTACACACAAATAAGATGAAGAATGGGAGTGTCAGCCATGCTGGCTTATGCTATTAGCTGTCTGGTTTTGTGCCTCCTATCTTTTGGTGGATATTTGGTAAGTGCTAAGGTTTTCTGGGAGTGACAGGTGATATGATGGGACTAGAATATAGCAAGGCATGTGCTATAAGGGCAGGTTAAGTGATGAAGTGAGTTTGGTAAGATCCTGCTCGAAATCCTGTCACACCTCATAGAGAGAAACGCTCTGTGAAATGTGACAAAATTGACATTTAACCAGAAAAAAGAACGTACAGCTCAACCTTAAAAGTCAGCGTCAATACTGTGGAGCAAGGATACCTCAAAGGCACAAGCATCCCAGCTATTGAAAAATACGTCTCTATATGTATAATAGGTCACTTGCAGAACATGTGTAGAAACAGCAAAAAGTCAAATAATTACTGACACAAATAAATTGATGAGGTATAAAAGGTGACGATAGAAGAACAGAAGATAGAAGAAAATCAAAATGTATTCCCAGGGGAAATAGTGACATAAACATAGCATTTTGACATGAAGTTACTTACATCAATAAGTAATTTGAAGCTTGATACAGGGATGTATGTCACTGCATTATCAAATAATATAATGTGGCTGAAGAAATAACATTTACATCCTTCAGCAATGCAAGTACGTGGTCCAAGTAGTATAATACTCAGACTAAAAGATAATCTACAAGCAACTCTGTGAATTTCGGATAGTAAAGAACTACACATCGTTCATGCTTAAGAATTATTATTTAAATATGAATAAATGTCTTAGCTCAGACAACTTCAAATGGTTAAAGGTGTTAAGCTAGTTACATTCAGTAGCCAAATGGCCAAGAAACAGCCAGTCATGACACAATTGTTCAAATGAGATCTAGTCATGGAATCACAGATCAAGGAAATGTCAACTAGTGAACAAAGGAAAAACAATAGAGGATTTCACAGGACTTCCTAGGTTCATAGTGGAGCCTAAAAAGAAGACAGAATCTTTTGAAATTAGATTTGTTGGCATAAATTAATTGTTTCATATTTTCAACATGATGGAAATATATAACCAAATAGGCTTTGCATAAATATTTTCCACTGTTCTATCATTGAAGAAAGTTCAGATGGCAAGAGTCAGCAACGTTTGTGTGAGGATACAAAAAAACCAGAAAGTGTTCAAGAAACTCATCAAGTCTGGCACATCTGCGGAGAGTGAAACAGAGGGGTGGCACAGTGGCTCAGTGGTTAGCTGCCTCACAGCGCCAGGGACCCAGGTTCCATTCCACCCTCATGCGACTGTCAGTGTGGAGTTTGCACATACTCCCTGTGTCTGCGTGGGTTTCCTCTGGGTGCTCCGGTTTCCTCCCACAGTCCAAAGATGTGCAGGCTAGGTGGATTGGCCATGCTAAATTGCCCATAGTGTTCAGGAATGTGTAGATTAGGTGGGTCATAGGGGGTGGGTCTGGGTGGGATGCTCTGAGGGTCGGTGTGGACTTGTTGGGCCAAAGGGCTTGTTTCCACACTGTAGGGATTCTATGATGAAAATTAACATTTTAAGTCCAATATGGATCCTTAACACTGAAAGGAACTAGATAATTTTAGTTCTTATGCTGTTGACAGAAGGGGAGGAGGAGTAATTGAAACATATTGTGAGGGTGCCTAGACCAAAAGACAAAGACAATGATAATGGTGGCAAAAGGATGATAGAGATGTAAAACAAGTGTAAATAGTGGAAAAAGGAGAAAATGGGTGAAAGATTTATGCTGAGGTGAGCATTACGCACAGACCAATGTTCTTGGTTGAAAGAACAGTTTCGGATTTTGAAGAATGTAGACCTACTATCTAGACCTCCTTCAAGTTCCTTTTTAAACAACCTGTGAGGACACTTCCAGGCCAGGTGGAATTTAAACCAGGATCTTCTGGCCCTCACTTATAGTCCATGCTTTTTTTTAAGAAGTAAGTCATCAAATCACTTGTGTCACCAATTAGTTATTAACAATTGATAATCACTGCCCAACAGGGACAGTACAACATAAAAAGAATCGGGGAGAGTAGGTAGAAAGTGAGGGACTTAAATTAAAATGAAGTTCTCCTTCATAGTCTTAAGAACAATGTCTATCATGCCAATATAATTGCAACTGATTGTTATTATGAGTAGCAGGTTTTGATTCTTGAGTGAGTGAATATTAAAAATAAAAAACAAGTATGTCTTACCCTGAAGTCAAAATTTGGTTTCTTTTCAGAAATAAGGGTGATTGGCTGGACAGCTTGTTCTTAACAAGTTTACCTCCAGCTCAGCTTGTTCTTAGCTGGGCTTCCCTCCAACCGAACCAGGTAAAACAAAGATCTCTCCAGCCACTTGGTGTTCAAAAATCAACTCCAGCAGGGCTCAACAACAAATCAAGCAGCCATTATTATTCACATAACCTACAGAAAGCCTTCAAAATCATAAGTGTTTTGACAAAGTGGATAGGGAGAAATTGTTTCCATTTGTAAACAGACCAAGAAATCAAAGGTTACTGTTTTAAAACTACTTTCAAAAGAAGAAAATGTGAGGTGAGAACAGAACTAATCCACTAGTAGTTTAGGCATGGAATTTCCTGGAAGTTGAAGGAATCTGGTTCAATTAAGGCATTCAAGAGGGCATTGGATGATTATTTAAATAGAATTAATGTACAGATTTATAGGGAAAAGACAGGAGCGTGCTGCTAATTTTAAATGCTCAGAAGACCAGTGAGGACACGATGGACTGAATGGCCTCCTTCTACACCATAACAGTTCTTTGATTCTGACTGTCTATTTTGTTATGGACCAGACCCCCTCAAAATATTTCAAGAAGGTAGCCTAGACCCTAACGTTTTCTTATTTTAAAGGTAAATGTGAAGTGCATGTTCCAGATGTGATGCAACTAGTCAAACCACTTGATGTTAAGCAAAACACAATTTATTTAAGCATTATAGTTAAAATACAAACAAAAGAAAGAGGGAGAGACAACAAGGTGCAGGGCTGGATGAACACAGCAGGTCAAGCAGCATCATAGGAGCAGAGAGGCTGACGTTTCGGGCCTAGACCCTTCATCAGAAATGGGGGAGGGGAAGGGGGTTCTGAAATAAATAGGGAGAGGGTGGGAGGCGGATAGAAGATGGATAGAGGAGAGGATAGGTGGAGAGGAAACAAACAGGTCGAAGAGGCGGGGATGGAGCCAGTAAAGGTGAGTGTAGGTGGGGAGTTAGGAAGGGGATAGGTCA